CCCCCCCCCCCCCCGCCAGACCCAGGAGGCACCACCACGCTCCTGTGGGATGCTCCATGCACCCCAGCATCTCAGCATTTATGAGCCACCTGGTACCTAGAGGTAAGTAGAAGAAACATTTAAAGCTGTGTCTATGTCTGGATCACCAAATGATTCCGAATCGATTTGGAGGGTTCTGATTTGATCTGGAGAGATTAAAGGGTCCTCTGATTTGATTTGGATTTGGAAATTTGGCCACCGAATCGGGCCGAATCTCTGCTGAATTGAATCAGGGACCAAAGCTTCGCACAGCCGTAACCTCTACCAGTCTCAATTCCTAAACCACTGGTGCTTCCCCAGCCCTAAGGCTATCTTTCCCCAAGCAGCTTAGATACTTTATCGGAGATTCCCCTGCAACCTGCTCAGGAGCTCTTCCTTCAATGGCTTCCAGGGCTAGATTGGCTGTCCAGCTCAAACCCTGGTTTTATATTGTGCAAGCCAACCTCTTTTGGGATCATGTGGCTCCCCTGATTGCCCTCTGCTTTACCTGCTTTTTCATGTGACCCTGTATGGGTAATCAAGGAACAGCTCCCTACTTAATATAAACCGTGTCTTTATTATATCAGTTTCTTACAGAGCTGTTACAGGGCCTGCTGTTTTCCCCCAGCCTCTCTAACTCTCTTGTTTTTCCTGTCTCCTCCCCCTTGCTTCCTGTTCCTCCTTCTCAACTGTTGCTGGTTTTGCCTTTGAGATCTATACTGCCTGGTTTTCCTGCAGCCTGCCTTCCTTTAAAATAGTAGGAGTACCAAACTCCCTGCTATAGATCCTTTGCCCCAAAGACTATGCAATGCACTCAGATTAAGTTCAGAAAAACAAGCCTATGCATAAATTATCCAAACAGTACTCATTAAATATACAGCATGGTCAGTGCTGTGGTATTAGTGGTTTTGAAATAGACTAACTCCTCTCATTTTCAGGGTTTCTAATAGCAGCCTCTTAACAGCTGCTTCATCTTCACCATTTTTGTGCATTTATGCAGAGTACAATTATGTTATAAAGTAGATATTGGGGCTGAAAGATGCTGTGTACTGTTGTTTCTGCATTTAAGTGGCATACAGATAACTGATGTTCATTTTAATGGAAGCAATGGGTAACAAATTGTCACACAATGCTGGTCCCAAAGTTAAGCAAATTTTGCCCTTCTTCAGCATGCATGTCAGTTGATGTACAAAAAGATGCCTGTTAAAATGTGTTACCATCTTCAGACTTCTTTATGATAACATGACAGCAGCTGTCCTAAGCAATGGCTCAGAAACAGACCTGTTTATTATTAGAACTGGAGTCAAGCAAGGATTTGTAATTGCATCAACATTTTTTTTCATCTGTATTGCAGCTATTCTGTACATCATTGCTAATAAGTTTCTATCTGGAGTCAGCATTCAGTACTGACAGACTGGGATTTCTTTAATATTAACTGGTTATGTTCCCAATCCAAAACAACCAACACTTCCATTATTGATCTTCAATATACTGGTCATTGTGTTGTGTATGCCTGGGACTTCCTGATTGCTTCAAGAAAACCAAACTACGTTACCAACCCCAACCCAAGAAGCTGCTTACAATTAAGGAGAATCTTTGGAGAATGTTGAACATTTCCCATACCTAGGTAGCTGCCTCTTCCAAAAAGTAAATATAGATGATGATATTTAACATCAGATAAAATCTATCAGTACCGCCTTTGGACATCTCCAAAATCATGTTAAATGATTATGACATCAGGACCCATACCAAACTTCTTGTTTACCAGGCTGCCATTGTTCCTATGCTGTTGTATGGGTACAAAACCCAGACAACATACCAGAAACACCTGAAAGGTTTGAAAATTACCATCAGTGATGTCTTCAGAAAATCCTCTATTTCAATTGGAAGAACAGATGCTAGTATTCTGGTTCAAGTAAATTCTACCAGCATTGAAGCTATGCTTATATGACTGCCAGCTCCATGGACAAGATATGTTACATGGGTGCCTGACAACTGGCTCCTAAAACCGGTCCTATACTCCCAAATGACTGACAGTCACCACTGTAGATGTGAGCAAAAGATATTCAAGGACACCGTGAAGGCCAATCTGAAAAAATGTGACATTACGATCAATAGTTGGGAGATGTTAGCACTAAATCACCCCCAGATGTACCGTAATGTACAAGAAGGTATCAATCACTTCAAGAAAATTCATCTCATCTTTATCATGCATTACCTAAGTACGAAGTACATAAACTGTCATTCTAAACGAAAAAGTGTAGAATAAGGTCAGAATATCCTTAGTGTCAGGGCATGGAATTAATATCAGCATGTCCCTCATGTGAACAAACTATCAGGGTCAAAATAAATTTTTTCAGGATTAGACAGTTAAAAAAAAACGATGACTGGAAGTGGAGGGTTCCATCTCCGCATTTGTTTGCCCTCAGCTAGCTTTGTTTTGGCCCATGTCAGCAGGGACATCAATGTTTAATGTCTGTTCAGCTACCTGAGTTCTTGATCCAGATCTTCCACTGATATCAAGCAGCACCAGTGGGTGCCCCACACTGTCTATAAATCAGACCTCACCTAGGTGCTTAGAAACAAAACTACCACCTGTGTTCAAACACACATTTTAATACAACATTGGCCTGTTTGTGCCTTCAGAGAATGTCTAAACAGACATTTGCTACCTAAAACACTGAAAGAAATTAGTTGTTATGGTTTTATCTGAGAACAAGCAACTCATCATCATTCACTGTCCCAGTCTATAGTGGAAGACACAAGGATTATAATTTTATAATGAAAATAATGGCATAAATGCAGAAACATACTCATATACTTTCCACGTGATAAACAATAAATTCTTATTTTGGGGCAGCTCCCAAACTGGTTAAAAAAGGAAGTCAGAATGACTCGATGAGAAAATGTTGTTTTAGCCATGACAGTCCAGGAAATATACAAGAAGCTGGGGGGGGGGGCAAAGAGATTGTTGATATCTTTTATTGGAGCAATTGGGAGAGATGTTAAACAAACGTTCAGGCACAAAGAACCTTTCTTCAGATGACAAGAGAGGAAATTCTGCATGTTCTGCACCTTTGCCCTACAGGGCTAAAACCTGCAGTTTTTCTCCTATCTGTCCTTAGTATGGAGTCCTTCCATGATATAAAATTTAGGGTGAGCAATATAAAATATGAGACTATTTTAATAGTTTCTTCTTTATTTTGTGGAATTCACTTGTTTTAACTATGAAACAAAAACATTAGAAAATACTAGCAGGTTACTAAGCAGTCTGGAGGTGTTGTTAGTGTTGTGATTACCAGTATCAATAGTATCAGGTACCAAAATCAAGATAATGGACATGGCTCATGGCTTTGTAATGCCAGTTTTAGACTGGCAGACCTCTACTGAAGCCAGTAGAGCTACACCGTCACAAAAATAAAGCAAGGGGCCATGGGTCTGCTGACATGAAGTCCTGACTTTGAATAAGAACTAATTTCATAGACCTTTTCCGCTTGTGAGGAGTTGTCAGCAGAAGATCCTGGACTGCTCCAGAGCTATCCTGTGCTGAAATAGAACTGTCCAGGTTTCGATATTTTTCTGAAGTCCTTCATTCACTGGCACTTTTTGACTGGATAATCTTGTCAGCTTCCACAGAAATGACACTCTCTTTTCATACCCAACAGGAATTTAAACATCACTGGACAGAACTCAGAGGAACCACACTTTTCTTCTATAATGATAAGAAAACCACAATGGTGAGTAGCACTATGGGCTAATGTGAAGATGTTTGAGCAATTTTGATAGTACTTATCATCAAGCAAGAAAGCATGTGTGTGAGAACTGCCTCTCTCAGTTCCATCCTTCCACACTTTGGAAACCCAGAGAGCAGAAAGCAAGCCCAGAAACCAAAATGCCTGGTGAAGTCATGGGAAGTGAAATAATGATACAGCAAGTTCTTCCTCACCACAGTCATTCAGGCTACACTGAGCATTTGCTCTAGGGATGAGATCTATCTGGAGCTGCAGCATAGGCAGGTGGACTATCTTCTTCAAGGTCACCCAAGAAACCCAGAGGCAAGAATAGAACACAGATCTCCTGAACCCATCAAGTAGTCAATCCACTAGGACCCAATGGGCATTTTTAATGGACATTAAAGATCACCTTGTTCACAGCACTTACAAGCAGAGCTAAACATTCCCTCCTTCATTGTACAGCTGAGAAGCAGCTGTTAATCTATATATGGTTTTCAAAATAGTGGGGGAAAATTCTGGTTGAAAGATGCTATTATTATGATACATACAGCATGTATATCCTCTTTATCTTTTGTACAGGCTCTTTGACAGAAAAGCAAGAAATTCTACTCCAGTGCCAAGTTTATGCCTTCCTAACACAAAATTTCTGCAGATCAAAAACAAGCACCAGTATAACAAGAATTATTTAATACCCTGAACGGACACAGCTTATCTTGCTTGAACTGTGTTTGAAACCAAGCTCCACAGTTGAAGGCCCCACCACAGTTTTTCAGAGCAGTGTGCATAGGGATGTATTTTTTCCTTAAAACCATTTTATAAAGGGCCTGATTATTCTCTCCCATGTGACTAGAATATTGTTGTGGCCCCTTGACTTCACTAAAGTAGTGCTTGATTTATGCTTATTTCAGTGAAAGATGTAAAAGGCTTATTTCATAGATTTCATAGACATTAGGGCTGGAAGGGACCTCGGAAGATCATCGAGTCCAGCCCCCTGCCCAAAGGGCAGGAAGTCAGCTGGGGTCACAGGATCCCAGCAAGATAAGCATCCAGTTTGCTCTTGAAGGTGTTCAATGTAGGCGCTTGAACCACCTCCGGTGGCAGGCTGTTCCAGACCTTGGGGGCTCGGACAGTAAAGAAATTCTTCCTTATGTCCAGCCTGAAACGGTCTTGTAGTAGTTTAATTGCTCTAGGTTGTCCTAAGAGCATAGTTTACAACAATGTCATAACTTAGCTCTTAAATAAAAAATGTCAAGCTGCAGTGGTTAGCAAAACTACTGCAGTCTTGCCAGCAACAACTTTGTTCAATGAACATGACAGTAAAGACTATGTTTTACAACCACCAAGAGTCTATATTAGGCCAGCAGTTCCCAGATAAATTGTTGGAAGAATCAAAACCCTCCAGCCGTACGTTTCTGCAACATCTCCCAAATGTTTCACTGTGCAAGATGTGTAAAGAGAGGGACTATGATAGTGAGAATTTTCCCCCTTTATAGTTTTCCCCTGCAAGCCCATGCATGAATCATCATAGACATCTTCTTAGGACTCAAAAGCCAGCCATAACAAGTAAACTTTGTATTTAAATTCCAGAGGGCATATTTAATTAAGTAATCTGTTTTGCATATAGAGGTTGTAGCTGAAGTTGTTTACATCTCTATACAGGAAGTATCATCTTAATGCCGTATTTCCTGGCTGTCTAATATTTACTTTGTCTTTTCAATTGTGACTTTAATGTTGTAAGTATGTAGAGGGAACCTGGGAACAGGCAAAGTGAGGGGAGAATTTTATTTCTGCACTGTGGCTAATATACTGGTAATGTAATGGCCTCCAGGCAGCTAGATGCCTTTCTGGAAAACTATCCCATCAGCAATAGCACCTGAGAGGAAGGAGGGATCTGGTCTGGGGAGCTCAGGCTAAAGTTCTTGGACCCTATCCTGAAAGTAAACATTCCTAGACAACACTGAAAACACTTATTACTTTGTATTAGGCAATCTCAAACACACTTACAATATGCATTTATTTGTAAGACCAGACCATACATTATAACTTGAGCTCTCTTTTGCATCAACTGTTCCTCAGGTTTCTCCATGTAGCACCTCTCCACCTGTCCTTTCCCTTCCTCCTGCCTCGCAACACCTTTCAGGTTTTGATTGTCCTGTGTTAGAGACAGTGGGACCTACCTGCTCTGGCTGCCAGGGTGAGTCAGTAAATTAGCACAGCCAAATGCACCAGCTCTGAATTCTAGTATAGGGTCAGCAACCAGCTTGATTTTTTTTCTTGAGCATAATGACCTTTGAGTGATAGGTATGCAGTGGATTTATCTGCTACACTCTGGGTGCATCTACAAATGCAATTAAAGACCTGAATTTTCTGTGCAGAAAATTCTGGCTCATTAAAGCACTCCCAGACACGCATCTGAACGTGTGCCCATCAGGAGCAGTTCAGTCCAGGGCTACTCCCACCCTGCTCTGCCCCCCCTGCAGCAGCCAGGGGAAGCTCCAGGCTCCCCCAGGTGCCAGCCCTGGGCTGGCAGGGGCCACAGGGGTTGGTCCTGATCTTCATGGGACTGGGGGAGCTGTCCTGGCTCTGGGGGCAGCCAGCCCCAATCTCCACGTGGCTGGAAAGCAGCTTGCCTGAGCTGGGACAGCTCTCCCCACCCCTCAGAGATTGGGACAGGTCTCAATCCCCAATGCGGCTAGGAGGTAGCTGCCCTGCAGCTGGAACATCTCCCTCCACCTGTGGAGACTGGGGCATAGCCAGGCAGCAGTGACCCCCTGCTGCCTGGGCTGAGCAGGAGCAAATTTCTTCCGGTCAATGTCTACACTTGCACTCCTGCACATTAGTTAATGCACTGTTTTTCTAGTACCTGTATGTATTGGTACTAGCAAATGGCATCTTAGACTAATATAATGTGCAGTAATTGACGCACTTGTGTAGACTCTGACACTTTATGTAGGAAATTTCCAGTGATGTAAACTAAAGCAAACAGAATAAACAGTGGAGAGGAGCAGTTTGCATACAATGCTTCCTAGAGCTGAAAGAAGCCCTCTCTAAGAAATGAGACTGTGTTTTATGTTTTTCCTTTCTGTGTCAAGTCACTTCTTTGGGGAACAGCTGGTGTTACAGTTTTGTTTTGTTTTTTACAATGGATGTCATAATTATGTGTTATTTCTTTTTCCCCTCCTTAGTATTTTGAAAAACTAGATCTAATGAATTTGACTTCAGTAACTAACATTAGTCCAGAAAACAGATGTTATGCCCAATTCATCTTGACGCTGCCAAATGAGGAAATAGAGATGAAGGTGAGTCAACAGAGCCATATCGTAAAGTTGTTATGTATGCACCTTTTCAGTGTTTGACAGACTGCTCCAATCACCCCACCATCACCCAGCCACTGCTCTCTGCTAATATTTTCCAAAGTAAGTGCTATCCACTGTCCTTTGGGGATCAAGAGGGGAATTTTGGAAGCATTCTAATTTGTGTGAAGGAACTCAGGCCTGCAGAATGGAACCTAAACTGTGTTCCAATAAGAGTGGAAGCTGCCATCTGGCTAAATTTTACATGGTGTGTCTCATTTTCTTGCATGGAAAGGCAATTGAAAAACAAGCCAGAAGTGAAGATTTTTGTTTTTTCTTAGATATAACAGAAGTGCATAGAATGAAAGGTGAATGAGATGCTGAACTGGATCACGCTCTCACGGTTTAACATCTCTACTTACACCCACAAAGATGTAGCATATTAAAACCTTTTCAGTAGAAGAATAAGGTCAATTATTATTAATCAAAGAAAAATCAGTAAGGATAGGTACAAATATCCTGCACTTAGAATGGAACAATTATATGCACAAAAATGAAAGGCTAAGCTGCAGTACTGCAGAAAAGGACCTGGGGTTTCTAGTGGACCATAAGGATGCTCTTGGGACAAAAAAAAAAGCCAATAGCATCTTGGGCTCTATTAACAGGAGCTTCATTTGCAATTTGAGAAGTGATTCGCCTGTTCTATTTGGCACCAGTGACACTTCACCTGGAGTATTTTGTCCCATTTAGGGCACCACAATTCAAGAAAGGTATGAACCAATTAGAAAAAGTTCAGCAGAAGGTAAAAAAAAATTATTAGAAATCTAGAAAATATGACTTACAGGAAAAGGGTTGAAGAACTGTGATTATTTCATCTGGAGAAGAAAAGATGGAAGAGGGATTTGATAACAGTCTTCAAATACCTGAAGAGTGGCTATGAGGAAGATGACAGACTAATCCCAGATTACTTGTGGGGTGTTGTGGAATCTTCTTCCTTGGAAGGTTTCAAGACTAGCCTGAGCTTCAAACACTTGGATGAGATGGCTTGGACAGGGATGATCCTGCCTTGAGCATCTTTCACTGAGAGAAACGTCATAGGAGAAGTGTAAGGTGGCACTATTCTCTCCAGTGAAATACATGCAACTCACTGTAGGAGTTGCATGTGTTTCACTGAGACTGTTGCTTCACTTCATAATATTTATTTTCATTGCTCCGCTGCTGTACTACAATGAGTAAAGTCTGTTTCTACAGACCAAGCATGGGTATATCTCCATTCTTCATTCAGGGCCTATTTTTAGGAAGCGTCTTGACTGGTCCCCAAAGGAGTGCTGTAGCTTTATTTCAGCAGACAAAGAACATGGAATCATAGAATAGAAAGACCGGAAGGGGCCTGTAAGATCATGAAGTCTGGTCCCTTGCCATGAGCAGGAGGTGATTGGGCTCAAACAAGCTCAATGAGGTGCCTGTCCAGCCTCCTCTTGAACACCTCCAGGATGGTGACAGCACCACTTCTGCTGGGAATGTGTTCCAGGTTCTAGATACCCTTACAGAAAAAAGTTTTTCCTTATGTCCAGCCTAAATTTTCCTCCAACTAGCTTGTGTCCACTGGAACTTGTTCTCCCAAAGGGTGCCTTTCTGAGGAGTTTCTCCCCTAGATCTTGGTGTTCACCCCTGATATATTTGTAGGTGGCTGTCGGGTCACCCCTCAGTCTTCTCTTACTCAGGCTGAACAAATATGGAGGATTCCCAGTCATGGTCCAAACCACACAAAACTCAGAGCTCAGCCAGACATGTCCAAAGGTTGAGTACACGCTGAAGCTCTTGAGAGAGTCCATGATTTATTTCAAACAAGCTGAAGCCAGTTTAGAGGTTTATGTTAGAACAATGGAAACATGAAGGGTTTTGTGACTGCAAACTGAGTGAGGCTCAGTAAAACTGACTCCTTCATTGGAGAAAACCTGCCTCCTGGTCTGGAGAAGAAACTAAAACCTTCCCTCCTGCTGGTCTAGAAAGGCATCCTCATGTGCTGTTCATCCCTCTTTAGAGAGCAGGGCTTACAGGCCACCCTTCTGACTCCCAGGCTTATGGAGGAAGAGGGTGCAGGGGCTCTTTTCACACACGGGCTTCCATTTTATCCCTTCACTGCATCCCTGGCCAGTGACAACAGGTCAGTGGGCTCTTCTTCCTCAAGCTACCCTTCCTTCCCCCCACTTCTTTCCCTCACTTACTAGCATTCCAGTAGCATCTAGAGGCCTCTCCTGAGAGCAGGCCCTGTTGTAATCAGCACAGCACACACATGCATATGGAGAGGCAGTCCCTGTCCTGCACTGCACAAATGGAGAATGGTGGTAGGTGAAACAGAGGCAGAGAGGAGAACTAACTTGCCCTACATCACACAGCAAGTGGGTGACACAAAACCACCTAGAGAACCTCGCTCTGCTCCCCATCCACTGCTCACATTCCTGTCTTCTCTCTCCCCCACACACTTAAAGCGAAGAAGATCAGAAGGGGAGGCATACAAGAGAAGGGAAGTGGCAGTGAACCGGTAAGAGTGAGTGGTGTGGCAAGTGGGTAGTGGTACACCTAGGCTGACAAGCTCTGCTGAGAAACTCATGCAGCTATTCTTCCAAATTTAGTGCATGCCACATTGGCTTGGAGTGCCTGCACAGCACTGCATTGCCCATATAGCATGTTTACAGGTAATACAGGGTATCTCTGCACAAATGTGTGCCATGTAGACACCCGCTTCCACTTCCCTCATCTCCACCACCCCAGAAGGACTTAAATTTTGGCATGGGCCTTTGGTTATTTTGTAAAAGGTAGAAGAATAGGAGGGGGCATCAGGGGGACTAACCAGGACTGAAGCCAAACAAAATATCTACATCAACTCCCTCGACATGACCCTGCAGCTCTAGATGTGTCATTGCTCATCCAGGCTCAGAGCAGCCCGCAAGGTGCAGCAATGACTGCAGTGCTCTCTCCATGCCCAGAGTCCTGGGCCTGAAAAAAGTGGCAACAAATCAGGTTTTGCAGGTATTTGCTTTTAAAATAGGAACAAGCAATAAGAAGAGGGCAGTGGGTGCCTTGTGGTGGGCTGGGTTGGGGAAGAAGGGAGATGGAAATAGGGTCTAGATTGCTTTTGCTCATCCTCTGAAGGGTACAGGAGAGCAGCACTTTCCATACAACATTCCTTTCATGACTGTAACCAAACCTACACATCTTTCTCTTGCACTTATGGTTTTCCAGTCAAGGAGTTGGATGTGCAGAACTCAAACTCCCTGCGTCCTGGATTTTTGTAAGCACAGAGAATGGTTTTGTAGCCCAGGGGAAGAGTTGGTCACTGGGCTGCATTAATTCTTCCTTTCTGAAAGGTGGTTTAGAATCTGCCTGATGTTTAAAGAAAAATACAAGAATGAAGCACTACCCATCTCTTCCTCCTTTGGGTCCAAGCACACATTCTCCCAGGGAAAACAGGTTGTAGTTTCACTTAATAATAATTAAAAGGAGCACAGCTACAGCAAAGTCTTCATTGTATTTGTAACCATGTGGACAACCAGGCTCTCCTGTCCTATAGGGGCCTGTTGGACAGCAGCATCAATTCTGGCTTCACTGTTCCCAGGGCACAGACCTGCTGGAGTATGTATAACGTGGCATGAATTGCCTCTTCTTCTGGTGTATCTCCCAGGGGGTGGGACAGGTGAAGCCATGTGCCTCACTGGCATGTAACAGGGAAGGGGCATCAGTGGTCTCTGCTTTTCCTGTAGGCTCCTTCTTCACATTATTTGAGTGATTGCATGAAGTTCCCTTCATCTTCATTCCAAAAGAAAGTAGACACTATGGCATCTTGTATCTTGTACTTGAGTTAGGAAGTGAGTTCAGGGAAGGATGTCAGAGAAAGTAGATGGTGGACATTCAGTGCAGAAAGGCAGTATATAAGAGTGTCTGCAGTACAGAAGCCTGTAATGGATGGGTTTTACTTGGTGTCATTTGAAAAGTTTTGTTTAGGCCTACTGGCAAGTACACACTTTATAAGGAATTGATGGAGAAGGACCTGGGAGAAACTGGAAGTAAGTTTTGATCTGCAGTCACTCTTACATTGTCACTTTTTTCCCCTTCTCAGGTAGAAGACTATGAAAATGGGGAGGAGTGGAAAGGCTGTATTCTCACAGCCACAAAGGTAGGGCAGTTGGTTGTTTCTGCTTCTCAGTTGTCTCTGGCACCATTACAGCATGCCTGTTGCCATCTTTGTGTCAATAAAAGTTCAAGAGCATCTGATAGTTCCTTTGTTCTAAGCTTATTCAGCTATTCACCAAGTGCATGCCAAAAAGGTTATTTATCCATACAAGATTTTCTTTGAGTGCACCACATCAGTCTTTTTTGAGTGACTGACAAAGCCCTGCCCTCAAGATTTCTGTCTGTGCTAAACACAATTCAAACCGAGCCAGCATAGATGGTTGTGACAAATATGGGGTCTACCTTAGTGGGGAAGAATGCACCTACGTAAGCAATAAAGGCCTCTGCCTATCTGCCCAACACATCTCTACACCTTTGCATTAGGTTAGAGAGTGAGCTTATGTTCCTATCTTGGTCCACTGTCTGAAGGAAACCTGGCTGCCTTGGAAACCTACCCCAAACTGCTGAAGAAATCTGCTTTTTTACTGTCAAGTTTGCATCAGTTTGTGCCAATTTGTTTATAGCAGAATGTAGCTAAGTGACCAAGCTATTGAATTAAGGTATGTTGATGTAAGACCGTTGTAAACTTAAGCCAATGCAAATGCCTGCGTGGATGGATGTAAGAAAACTGATTTAAAAGTTGATTTTAGATAAAAGGGTGTAAAGTTGTGGGTATAGTAGCCATTAAAAGTGCAAGAAGCAAAGCTGTCTTTGTACTATTTTTATAGGCTCAGCTGTATAGCTAGGAAAGAAGCACAAACAGCCTAAACCAAACACAAGCCATTATATTATCTAATGTTTAGCTTAGGCAGTACCTGCTTCTTGACATTTCAGATGGCCAGCTAGAGCTCACCTGCTAAATCCAGCAAATGAAAAAAAGACTTCTGTAAAGCAGCGGTATTTCTTTAGAGAGTGTTGTTGGTGCTCGCACCTTTGTTCCACTCACACCATTTCTTCTGCAACCTTATTTTGTGTCAATTTGTAGTTGTCAGTCCCAGTGTGCATGTCATTGCTACCTGGCCAACAAACTAGGATGAATGAAGTACTGGAGAAAGAAAAGAAAAGAAGGGCAGCAAGTGAACAGTTATCTAGTGCATCTCTAAGCAACGAGAAACCACATGATGGAAACTATACTAACATGATGAACTCTATACCTGAGTAAGTCCAGACTAACCTATAATAATCTGAATCTCAGAGTCCCCCCCACCCCTTTTTTTTTTGAAAGAGCACTATAATTTTCCTATAAAAATAGTTGTTAGCAAAAAATAATCACATAATCATTGTATATTCAGTGGCCCAAATTTGACTTTACCATGACCATTATGGGACTTTATGTATTATTTGTTCCTCCAGGGACTGTTGTATTATCCATGTCTCCTTTGGTTGGTAGAGCCAATATTAGAAAATACAAATTTCACCCTCTTGTGATTTCAGGAACTAATTTGTCCTCTTCCAAAGAGCAGCCATTGACAAGATGTGGGTGTTGTGTTGGAGAGGATCTTTCATGGCCATGGGCAAATGTCTGAAACCAGATTTTGCATGAGGTTAATTAGGTCTGAGATTGTTTAGTCCACTAAAGATAGGATCATTTGCAAAGTCATGCTCTGGAATCAGGCTTGGGTTCCACTCGCTAGAGTTTGAATATTGGTCTTCAATTTTGGTCTCTCTCCCCACTTCCTTTCCCCCCCAAATCAGTAATTATTTGGGCCCTGCCATACAGAATTCTGGTATTGCAGCCTGTACTTACCTTACAATGGGTACAGCAGTAGTCTGATTCTTCTGCTATACCCAGAGATTTTTGCAATGACTGTTTCCGTGTATTTTTTTGGAAAAGCATAAATTCACCCTAAACTGCTTTTCTGGGAGAGTCCCTCACTCCCTCCACCCCGCAAGCCACAAATTTGTTCATCATCCATCTTGCCAAATTTTAATACATTCACTGGCAATGGATGCTCTAATACTCCAAGTTGTCTCAGTTTACTGTTTTTCCCACTTTGAGTATGTGACTGTTTTCCAAATGGGAGTAGGATGGGCTTATCCATTATCCAGCCACCTATATGAATTGTGCCTGAGCACTGTTTACTTTGCCTCTGTCTGGAAGGAACAAAGCATTGGTACTGCAAGTTATGCAGTCACGCTACTGCTCCGTAAAAATGCTGCTTTCAAATGCAACGTGTCCTGTGGTGACAAAGGAAAACAGCAGCCTTGAACACCTAACACAAGTTATTCAGGCCTTGCTAACAGACAGAGGGACAATTCTGTGAGCCAGGAGTAGCCCTCATGGAGCTCTGCTCTGCACAGTGCAGGATGATGGTCTCCTATCCTCCTTTTCTGCAGGTGTTACTATGAAGTGTCCCGGCAAGAAGCCATTGAATTATTAGAGAAGAATCCTTCTTTGGGGAATTTGATCCTGAGGCCTGGTAGTGACAGCAAGAATTACTCAATCTCCATCAGATATTTAGCAGAGTAAGTTCACTCTACAAAAGATTACATAGTTCTGAGTTGGCACGTGCTGCATGATGCAGCTCCTTTCGGAATTCCTGGGGAATCACATGTTGAACTCAACCCTGCCTGGCAGACTAACTTGGGAGTAACAGTTTTAGCAATAAGTATGGGTTTGACACACCTTGATTGTCTTTTAGGGGGAGGAGGAGAGAATCAATGGGATGAAAGGATGAAAGAAGAGTCAAAGAGCTGAGCTGCTGGGGCAAAGTGCTTTTGCCTTGTCCCTAACATGTCCTATGTTATTTTCATGGAAACTTGAGACATTTTAAGCTATAGGTAATTACCTTAAAATAGAACACAATATGGGTCCGTATGTAAAAACTGAAATAAATTATAAAAGATAGAGAGCTAGAAGAGATCAAGGCTACAGTTAACAAAAAAAACCCCAAATTGACATCTGCCCTTTCCCTCCCCCGCCCAAAATATTGCTACTTTTCAACAAGTTTCAAAACAGGAAGCAACAAAAACCCACAGCGTCAAGTCTTGGGCCTTCAGATGTCATGCTGGGTTGTGGGCAGCCAGGTCTGGGGATCACCCAGGGTCAGGAGAAGCAGCCAAGATCCAAGAGGAGTGTGCAGAGTCTCAGCATAGGAAAGCCAGGAAGCCATAAGCTAGGAGATCAGTCCATGAAACTGAGCCAGAGGTCTGGGCAGAATGTGAGGTCAGGAGGCTTCAGGTCAGATATGCAGGAGATCAAATGAGAATCAGGTCAGAGAGCCAAAGGGTCAGGCCAGACTCAGGGTCTCTGAGCAAGCCAGGTCAGGTATCAGGAGAACCCGTCAGAGAGCCAGTAGCACCACAAGACAAGGGTGCAGAAACCTAGGTACAAGGTTGAGCTTTGTTGCCCAAACGCTTCCTATTCCAGGCCAAGGGCTTATATTGGAAGGGGTGAAGGATCAGCTGACCCTGGCTGACCATTGGTGGCAGAAAATGGGCATGTGCTTAGGCTCAGATGGAGGGTTCTGGCCACCCGTGTCTGCCCCAACGTGCTACTGAGGAGGTGATAGACCAGGATGAGCAGCCACGAATAAAGTCCATGAATCCAAGAAGAGCCATAGGGAGGGCACTGGCTAGTGCTTGGAAAAGTCCCTGACATGGAGCTAGGAGTGCAGAAAAGTTATCTGTGATCGCTTCTTTGGTCTGATCCAAAACAGCCTTGGGACTCCCTACCAATGATAATTAGTAGTAAAGTAAGGCTTTGGGTCCAGTGTCTAAAGGCCCTCTTGATGCTGGAGAACTTTATAGGATACAGTATTTTGGCCAATAGTCAAAGGAAAAGACTCCAATAGGCACCATTCCCCATGGGTCCTGTTGCTCTTTGTAGAGTTTTCTTTTTCCACCTGCACCAAGGAGGCCATGAGCACTCCTTCATGTCCACCTCAGGTATCACTGGCCTACCAACCTTTCACTCTGTGCTTCCAGCAGGGTCTACACTCGTGGGGCTCAACCTCTGATCCATGGGCCAATGGAACCCATAATGCTGTAACAGCCAGCCTGTGGGGCCTCCTGTGGGTCCAGAAATTTGGCAGTAGAAAAGCTGTGGCAGTGTTAATTGCCACTTCCCTGCTTCCAAATTTCTGGACAATAGGGAGCTCTGACGGCCAGATTACATGGCCCTGCACTCTAGATCATGCCAGGGTGAGGTTAGGCTGGCACATGGGGTTGGGTCAGCACATGGCTGCATTCAACACACAGTGTCAGGCTGGCACACAATTGCACCCTGTGCACAGGTCAGGCTAGTGTATGGCTGGATCTGGTGTGTGGATTTGAGCTGGTGTGCAGCTGGATCTGGTGCATGGGGCCAAGCTAAATGCATGCTGCCACACCCCTGGACTGACCCCATGCACCATCCCTGTGTGGGATTTGGCCCACAGACTGACTCTGTGCCACTCCCCGTGAGCCAGAAATTTGGATATTATTGCACTGGAGAATGGCACTATTCCTAAGTGAATCAGGAACCCACTTAAGCAGACACTTTAGGCTATCACTAGCTGGCCACAGCAAGACATGTTCTGAATTAGTGGTGAATTGTTGGAACACCCGGTCCATTCTACAAATGGTTTGAGTTGCACTGCCATCTGACTGCCTATCCCAAGACTCTGATTAATTGTTGATTCTGGAAACTTGTGGAAGAACAATGCTGTTCAATTCTGAGAGGGCTGCCTGATCTATTTTTGTATCATTCATGCTAGCACTAAACCAGTTCAAAATGACCCAGTGGTTGACCATACTAAAAGCCCCCCTAGACCTATGTAAATCATTTGAATAATTTCTGGTTTGGGTGCTAATGAACCAGCTGAAGAGATCTCATGATTCTTAACAGGGTCAGATCCTCCAACAAAGGCAAGGCTTTGGGGCTGTGCTTCAACAATGTGTCTGAGCAGCCCTGTGTTTCCTGCTTACCGCCCTGTTTGCATCTTTCTAACGCGTTCATCACTTGATCAAGCAAATAGATGCTTGTGCTTGGCAAGGCAAGGCTAAGCCTGCATCTGGCAAGGCATTAGCTACAAAGCATGATTGCTGAACTATGACACTGTATTTGTTTACAGGTGGTGTAACATTTCAGATCCTGGTCTGGATGTGACATTTTGCCAGGACAAATAGAAACAATCACATTCCCATAACACAAAACTACATAGTTTTTATTCATTATGAAATATCAAAGCAAGAAGCAGGTTTGTTGAACAAAGGCCCAAGACGTAAGTTATTCTCAGTCCTTGCTACTCAGAACTCCCACTAAAATCAAGAGGAGCATAATAATAATAAAATAATAATAATAACAATAATTAATAATAATAATAATATTGTTATTATTATTATTATGCGACTTATAGGAGGGAACTGAAGGGGAATTTTTTTCTAATGCCTGGAATCTCAGAGATTCTGAGTCAGTCAGGAGCACTTTCAGTCAATAGCCTCTCATCAATAGTATCCACCAACAGAATTGGGAAAGACAGAAGATGGCATTCTTGATATTCCTAAAAGTAGGACACACACGTGAAAACTCTACTCTTTGAACACTTTTCCAGCCTTTGCTGTAATAGCAATAACATTACAACAAAACCTTTTTAGCTATTTCCTGTTCACATGTAGGGGAAGCTTGTCTTAAGAAAGTCTGAAAACGCCTATTGTACTGTTGAAACTCAGCAGCAGATGAATGTCTTCACTAGATTTCAGTCTAGCCTCCTCATTGAGGGATCTGCAGCTAGTCACAACTTATTTCAATGACTGCATATTAATAATGGACTCCCTTCTTGTTTCAGGGTTCCATGCATCAAGCACTACAAAGTGGTGAAGCTGGAAACAGGTTACAAAATTCAACTGGAAAGACCGGTTAGTGGGTATTTCTTTGTTGGTGATTTTAAAGCAAGTAGGACCATCCCACATTTAAGTTCATTCTCTAAAAAAATATAGAAAAGAAAAAGAGGTGGGAATTTGTCTAAGAAGGGACATCAACATCTCTGACAACCCTGGAAACTGAACTTTCTGGCATTCCCTGCACATATCTAGTTAACTTGCAACAGTTTCATTTAGAACTTAAAAACATAAGAACTGCCACTTACTGGGTCAGACCATAGGTCCATCATGCCCAGTTACCTGTGGTCACATAGGCACCAGCACTTCCCCCTGGCTCCCGCTGCTGGGCAGGAGCTGCACACTAAGCTCCCTCCTCCATGGAGCCTGCAGCTCTGTCTCACTCCTCCCAGAGAGGGCTCCTGCTGCTCTCGTTGTTGAGTTGCCATATGCAATCCAAAGGGACCCCACAGCACCAGTGGGGCCTCTCCACTGCTACCACCCATGCCAGCTGCCTGGTCAGTCACAGCACATGCCAGCCCCAGCCCCCACCACTACAACACACCTCACCCCCATAGTGCAGCCAAAGGAGTTGCCTGTTCGAGCCCTCCTGATCCCCTCAGTCTCCCTGCTGAGAGGGGGGGGAGGGGAGCCCACAGCTCCCCCTCCCACCCCATCCCACCTTCTCCCATGGCAGAGCAGGAGCCCCTGGGGGGTGGGATGCAACCCCAGCAGGCCCCAACATAGGGATGGCAATGAACCAGGGGAGATCCAGCAGGGCAAGGGGGCTCCCCCTGGCTTAGCCCCACCTAGACAGGGTCACAGGCCCTCACAAAGAGACCCAAGCCAAGGGCAAGGTCTCCTCAGGAACCTCTTCCACACCTGGGTGTGAAAAGGGCAAAGGTCTGTCTGCCAAGCCCAAATCACCAGCACCAGAGGGGACCAGGTGCTCTGCATTAGGGAGCACTGTACTTGCTCAGTCCATCCCTGGTCCTGTCAACATGGCTTCCAAGCCAGGGAGCTACAGCTATGGCCAGGCTGCTTTAGGGAAACCCACAGCTCCTGAGCCTGGGCTCTGCACCACCGCTGACCCTTCCATCTCAGGCTTCCCTGCTCTCACCTGCAAGTATAGGGTGAGGTGCTGGCTGCCTGAGAAAGAGGACTCACACTGGCTTGAGTAGTGGTGGCCCCCAAAATTGTGGCAGCCTCTAGATCCCACAGCAAGCGAGTTTTCTTCCTTGCCACTGAAGCTGTCATGCAGGAGGCGGTGGAGAAGGGGCCTGCTGTAGGGAGTAAGCATGTCTCCCTTGAGCCCCTAGAGGAGCTGGGGACTAGAGTAGTCCTAAACTCTGTCTCCCTATACCTCCCCATCTCGGCCCTCCCGCCCCAGCTCCAGACCCTGGGGACAAATTGGAGAGAGTACAGTGGAGGGCGACAAAAATGATGAGTGGGGGACATGGTTTATGAGGAAAAACTGAGGCAAGTGAGCTTATTTAATCTAGAGATTCTGAGACAGAGGGGATTTAATAGCAGCCTTCAACTACCTGAAAGGTGGTTCGAAAGAGGATGGAGCTAGACTGTTCTCAGTGGTGGCAGATGACAGAACAAGGAGCCATGGGCTCAAGTTGCAGCAAGGGAAGTTTAGGTTAGATATTAGAAAAAACTTTCTCCCTAGGAGGGTAGTAAAACACTGGAATAGATTATCCAGAGAGATTGTGGACTCTTCATCCGGGTTTTTAAGACCCGGCTAGATAAAGCCTCAGCTGGGATGATCTAGTTGGGGATGGTCCTGCTTTGAGCAGGGGGTTAGACTAGATGTGAGCTCCTGAGTTCTCTTCTAACCCTAACTTTCTAGGATTCATCTCCTTCGTTACTCCCCTCCCACTGGTGTGCTGGGCCTCTTCCATGTGTGCTCCTTCTGCCAGCAAGTAATAATCCAGCTGGCAGCCAGCACCAGGGTAGAGACCAAGGGGGCCCTCTGGGTCCCCTTCCAAGGGTCCCTACCTAATCAGGATCTGCCATACAGTAGGGGCCCTGAGGTGCTTCTGGTGCTGTGCACCAGGGCACCTGCACCAGGAGTATGCCTTCGGCCAACAATAGGGGGCAATGCAGGCCCCCACTAAAGAGATGGGCACCCCCACCAATGGCACCCTTGGTACTCCAGCTGCTGCACCCAGGCCCTCTGCGAGCTGAGGGGACCTCAGTTCCCCAAGAAGGAGGCCAACCAGAAAACCATCCGTCACCCCTTGAGCTGTGCCACACCCCTGGGGAAAATAAATAGTCGACTTCACGGAGGAAGATCTGGGACAGCCAGGCCATCCCAGAGAGGAGTCCATAGAGGAGACCCCCCACCATTCTACTGACCTCGACCTGCCCCCCCAACACTGCAAGTGCTGAAGCACAGGCCTCAGCCACCGCTGGGGTGGGTCTAACAGCAGAGCCATCCCCATCTGACCATCTGGGGGAGGATGGAGCCCTGGGGTTCACTCTGGTGAGCTCTGATGGGAAAGAGCCCCTTCTCCAGGGCTCTAAGGAGGGCACCAATGCCACTAGAGTGTCCGATAGGTCTCCTCCAGTGCCCTCACAAGCCAGCCCAAAAACCGTCTCAGACCCACCCTGTGGGTCCTGACAGAGGGGGCTGAAGCAGCATCCCCCAACACCCAGAACAACCCTGAGAGGGACCCTGTACAGACCCCCTGTGTTCTGCCTTGCCATTCTCTGAGCTGCCCCTGCCCCTGCCCAAGGGGATGCAGCGCTCCCTTTGCTGGTGTTGGGGAAGTAGCAGACCAGGTAATTCAGACAGTGCTCCACAAGGCCTATGACATCAAATCCAGTGGGCCTAGCCCGGCTAGTCATCTCTCTCACCAGAAAGGAGGCTCTGGCTGGGAGGTCTCCCAAGGACTGCAGAGCCACTTTCCTGTCCCTCATCCACTCACATCTCTGGATAGTTTCACTGGGCAGTATCCACTGTCTCCTTGGACTCATTTGAGGGCCAGTGGGCATTGTCCAATGTACTCTGCTTGGTGCTCCCCCGCAGGGCACTTGTTTTGAACAATTGAGCTCCACTCCTACCCCTGTTATGTTTTAGTTGCCCCAAGGAATCAGTTGCCACTTTCCCAGTAGCCTCCCTTCCTGAGGGGAGGTTCTAGTTTCACTTGGTGGGCTTTTGGCCCAATGGCCCCATAAAGTGGCAATTAGGCCTGTGTCACACAGTGGCAGAAAGTGGGTGCAGAAAGCAATAATGGAGCTAGACTGTTCTCAGTGGTTGCAGATGACAGAGCTCTACTACAACCATCTTAAGTTTCAGCAAGGGAAGTTTAGGTTAGATATTAGGAAAAACTTTCTCCCTAGGAAGGTAGTAAAACACTGGAACAGATTATCCAGAGGTTGTGGACTCTCTATCCTTGCAGGTTTTTAAGACCTGGGCAGACAAAATTTGGCTGGGATGATCTAGTTGGGGGACGGTCCTACTTTGAGCGGGGGGTTGGACTAGATGACCACTTGAGGTCCCTTCCAACCCTCATTTTCTATGAATCTGAGACTGAAAAGGCTATGACCAGGATTTTCCCCTTGTTTGCCTCCCACTTGCAGCCTTCAGTATTTAAGGTCCAGGAAGTTCCGATTCAGAAGCTGTGCTCCTAACTCTCATGTTCAATAGCTACTGATGCACCTTTCCTCCAAGAATTTGCCCAATCCCTTTTTGAATCTACCGAAGTGTGAATTAAAACCAGTTCAGTTAACTCAGGGCAAAAAATGTATGGGCACTGACAGTTCAACTAAACAGTACTAGTTTGATGTGTCCCTTTGACAAGTGGCCTGAAACAGGGCCCAGATTTTAGGTTAAAAATTTTGTTTTAAAAGCTACACCCCAAGCATAAATAGCAAACCTATAGAGGTTTCGAGGCAGGTAACAATGGAGGTAACTGAAATATAACAGGGTCCCCAGGGTGGCCCAGCTGTGCAGAGTCCTCAGAAGGTGAAAGGGGCTGTGTTCATTTAGGGACTGTCAAGGTGATGACAGTCCTGGAAGCAAAACCCTGTCATCAGCAGAAGACACCATTCAAACTACTGCCTATCAGGCCACAGCCTAGAATCTGGGGCCTCTACTTATCTAGCATAGCCACTCATCCCAGTCTCCCACTTTCTCAGCTGAGAACCAGGGTAGACAACCAAGGTAGAAGTAGGTAGTCAGAACCCACTATCTAAGCCTAGCTACCCACCCACTTCTTGCAACCAGAGTGACCAGCCTGGGTCAGCTGACCCTTTACCCCTTCCTATAAAAACTCATGACCAGGAAGAGGAAGTGTCTGGGCAACAAGGCTCAATTTTGTACCCATGCTGCCTTGCTCACAACTTGTGCCTCTACTGGTTCTTTGATAGATTCTCTAGCTAGCTGACCTGGCTTGCTTACAAACCCTGAGTTTGGCCTGTTCCTTTAGCTCGCTAACCCAACTCTGGTTTGAACTCCTGATTACCAGACCAAGCTACCCTCCCGATCCTGTGCACTGTTCAACCCTCTGGATCTGTGACTCAGGTTCTCAGACAGATCTTTTGGCTTCTGGCTTCCTGACCCCCTATACTTAGACTCTGCACTCTCCCCAATTTTGGTTGCTTTTTTTGATCCTGGGTGACCCCCAGATGTGGCTGCCCAGGACTCGCCATAACACTGCTTCTGTTAGTCATCCACTGCAGTGAGGAGGAGAGCTGCCCAGTTATATCTGGTTTTTGTTTTTTTTAATGGAGGGAGAGCAAGGGATGCAGCTGCTGCTAGATCAGTGGCACGGTTAGAAGTGGTGAGTCAAGATTTAATAACAGAATTGAAGCAGGCCAGGAAAAAAAAACAGGAGTCCTGAAGACCTAGTGAACAGGAAAAAAATGAAAATGTAAAAATAAAAAAAAGAAAAGAATTTTTAAAAAAGCTACTACACTTTGTACCAGAATAAGAAGTGATGTGGCCAGAGATCTTCAACTTTCATTTCTTACTAGACCTTACACGAACAGTTGAAAATAGGAAAAAACTACCAGAAATGGTTAACATTAGATTCAAAAGTATGACCCAAAAGTTATTTTCAAAACAAACTGCCATGTATATAAAATGTGAGAAGCAAGGAGTGATGGGGTGGAGGTGATCTCTCTTATTGGACCAACTGCATGGTTGGAATAAAGTTATACAAGCTTTCAAATGCCATGCATTCTTCATCAGGTCTGATCAGGTGAAGAATTCATGGCATTTGAAAGCTTGGCTGGCTTTGTTCCAACCATGCGGTTAGTCCAATAAAAATCTCACCCCCAAAATATCTTTGCCACTTGCATAATCCTGGACCATCATGGCTGTAACATCATCCTAGTACTGTGCATATAAAATCTAAGACCTCTGAAGCACTTTAGTTCCCCTGTAAAAAAATTGTCAGCCTTAATATCAACTTTACTCTTTTTAAATCTGCGTTACAGTAAATTCCATTTTAAGAACTTGTCAGCTAAGTTCCCAACCATTTTGCAACAAACATGGAAAGGGAAAGGCTAGATCCCAAAGTAGCCATTCAAACCAGGTGCCTACTATAGGGCAAGGGTTGGCAACCTACAGCTCATGGAGCCATTCAACAGGATGTAGGGTTCTGGCAGCATTTGGTGGTGAGGGGCTTTGGCTGCAGCCACTCTCCTTTTGTGACCACAGGAAGAAATGCCACCTGCAGGCAGATCCCGGCACTCTCTCATCAGCCTGTGACCTGAGGTGGGTCATTCCAGCCCACAGGCAGTAAAGGTTGCCTGCTGTAGGGTGTTAGGCCTTTCAACCTCAGGTATTTTGAAAGAATAACGGGGTGAAGGGTGTGAGTTGACTCCTTTGGAGGGAATTTGTATACAGCACTGCCCTCGTTTTTTGGCTGTCAGGATTAGTTTAAGTCATGGATGTCAAACTCACCCCAGGCTGGATCTGGACTCCTGGGCCCCACCCTGAGCTGGCTCTATGGAAGCTGTACTGAGTCCAGGGATCTGTGGTCAGTGGTGCCGGTTTGCATCCAGGCAGCAGCATGAGCAAGCAGCAGTAGTAATCTGAGGCCAACAGCAGGGGCTGGGCAACAGGGCAGCCGAGGGCTGTACACAGCCATTACTCCCCTACCCCCTTCCCCCACTGCTGAGAGCCATTCCCATTGGGTGCAGAGACCCCAAATCCTGTGGCAGGCCATACTCCACTAGGCCTGTGGTCAACTTCCATTAGCCCCTCAAACTACTAGGAAGCCAAATGAACCAGTTCTGCAGGCCAGATCCAACTGTGAGCCCCTATATTTGACACCCTTACATTAAATGGATCCCCACAGTTGCCATGACTAAAAATCCACCCTTGGTCCTATGGATGTCACCATTATAGAATCAATCATAGAACGATAGAAACGTAGAACTGGAAGGGACCTCAGAAGGTCATCTAATCCAACTTCCTACTTGTCTAACCCATTTCTAAAACTACACAATCAACCCTGTCACAGAACTGCATAGCACATTGTCCAAGAACACCAAGATTGCCACAGGTAAAGCAGAGGCCCAAGGGCTGTCAGTGCTCCACCACTGCAAGGATGGTTGAAATACATTTGAGAGATCCAAGGGAACCATTCCTCCCTGCTACATAGGAAGGCAAACACCCCCGCAGCCCACACCAATCTGATGGTGGGGTAAAATTCCTTCTGGATCCCAGATGTGGCAGTTGGTTTAACCCTGAGCAGAAGCAGCTCATGGGAAAAGAGGAAGTCCCAGGAGGTTAGTCATCCCACCCCAACCTACAGAATACAGGAGCTCATCAATAGCCTAACCTCATAAAATTGGACCCCCTACTTTTCCTTCCTCTTCCCAGTACTATACCAGATTTGAGCATTGACTCATACTTCCTCTTCTCAGTATTAACTGGGAGCAGGCTGGTGAAAGGTTTGTTCCTCACAGGAGAGGTGTTACTGATGGTATAGCTGTCCTTCTCATTCACTGTACCAGGTAGCCCTGTGCTGCTCTGTACACACTGTGACACTCTGTACACACAACCTCTAAGGCCACAGCAGCATAGCCACATTCGCACCATGCTGCAGGCCTGCTTAGAGAGGTTCAGACATTTTTCTTCTTCTGTTATAACCTCCCTAGAAAAGCTGTGTTGTGGGTAAGCCTTGCTATACTGTGGGGGAGCAGATAGCCCCAAGAAAGACTGCTTTACTGGCATTGCAGTTACAAGCCTTAATTAATTTGCGAGGGTGCTGAGGAACACCACAGGCCTGTTTCCAGCTGAGCTAGAAGCAGTCTTACTTTGCATAGGCAGAGAGTAAGCAGTTGTAGAAAGGCAGTAGGGATTTGGGAAGCAATCCCACCTTGCCAGCTTGTTCAAAGATGCAGAACTGGGCTGCAGCACAGAGAAGAGGTCTCCACTCTCCCTGGGCACTGTGAGAGGTGCTGCCTACAGCACCTACCACTCTAAAAGACCACAAAGTGCTTCTTCAGGTATTTGGGTGCTTCTGATTGTTCTCATTTTCATTTCTTTGATGGGAGGTGGCTTACTGCTACCTCTGCAGCCTGCTGCATTTGGGGTAGATGCAATTCTAGGAATTTGGCAACATCTTGAGGTACCTGCAGCCCTGTTTCAGAAAACTTAGCTTGCCATAATCTCTGTCATGCCTTTTTAATTACATAGGTGATGTTCCAGAACCTGCACGATGTCATTGACTACTTTGTCAAGGAAACGCGATGGAACCTGAAGCCATTTGTCATGCACACTTATGACAACAAATCAGGTAGGTCATTCATTGCTGAGCATAAGGACTGCTTCTGCTGGAACCATCTTACTGAGAGGTGGTCAGACAGGGGCCAGCAACTGTGTTACAGAACAGCATTCAGTTTTATAAGCACAGTACACTTGTGCTAAGGGGCTGTCCAGAGGCTCTGGCTTTTTGACCACACATTAAATTTCTGGTACCAATGACCATTCCTAATTATAAACTACTGCTTCTTTTGGAGCAGTCTTATGGTGGCTGAGCAGCTAGTTTCAAGGAGAAAAATTCCATGTGCCAGAAGTCTTTTACAATAATAAATTGCATGATATGTGCAAGGGCAGCAAAGAAAAGTCTGATGAGAGAAAGCATGACCGAAGCACTATGTTGCAGTGAGTGGTTGCAGTAGCAGAGAAGAGGCCTCCTGAGCTCAATTCTCTCACAGCCTCTAACACTGAAGGTGTGTCACATGCGTTTAAAAATAACATGTGAAGTTGAATGTGGCCATACTTAAGTGACCATTGATTTTCACACACACTTCATTGCAGCTGCAAAACCCATTAGAGTTAGTGCTGGGCATTTAACGTATTTGTCTTCCATGGAGCTGTGTGATTTTTAAATACCACATTAAGCTACACCCGCACTCAGAAAGATTTGTTTTTGCTCACCCCACTTAAATCTTGTATCTGATGAGTTGACCCAAATGAAAGAAAAGTGGGACTAGGCTGTTCCAAAGAAAGCATGTTTGAGGCAAAGGGAGAATACAAATCTTGTCTCTTTTTTCCACCCCCCCCCCACAGAAGCACTAGCTTCAAAGTACACTCCAACAGCAACGTACCTTAAGGGAGCAGAGAATATGCATATAAGCCCTGATCTTGTGAAATTCACAGAACCACTTTAAAGCATCTTGGATTTACTGCAGGAATATCCAGCTCTGCAAATGGTGAGGAAACAATGCCTTCTTTTAGCATGAAAGTTTTGTTTGAGGACCAGCAGCAGTAAGACATTTGGTAAAGAAAGCATTACATAAGGGGGCAGTGCAAATGTAGCATGACAGGAAACATCTCTCCCTATTGATCAGGTTGCACAATCTTCTCTCAAAAGCAACATTATGTTGGTCTCTGAAGAGGTTCTCAGGATGGCTGGTAGAGGCAGCACAGCAGGGGCTGCTTTACTCCTTATAGATATGTTCTTGTTGTCAAACATGCTGGTGAAGATTTTACTAGTTACTGATTCTGAGGCAAGAATGCAGTTGCTATCGTTAAGAGAGGGAAGTATGTCCAGGGTCAGGAAGGAAACACAATGTTCTGCCTCTAGCTTTCTTGTTTAGACCTAGGCATGTGAAGGGACTAGCACATGTCAGGTGGCCTATGTGATATCTGTCCATTTGTGGTGAGTGAGAAACCAGTGTGAATGTATGTCACTGACTCTTTCCATCACGCTTCAAAGACACCAAGAACTGCATAGGCCTAGCAAGCTGAGCTGCTCTCTTGGATCAAAAATAGCACAATCAAGGTAGCATATAGAAAATAAGGAGCATGCTTCTGCCCTCATGGTCAGGGCACTCACATGGGAAAGGGAGACCTGGGCTCCAAAGATTATGTCTGCTTATTTACTACCTTTAAATGTAACATGCATACAAAACCAGTGCTGGAAACACTGACCAAAATGCAGGACTTCTCTCTCTCTCTCACCCAAATGCTCGAACCAGCAGGCTACGGTCAGGCTGCTCCTTGCTTATTTTCTGGCCCCACAAATTTTGCATTCCTTTCTGCACAATTTTTGGAGGAAGTAGTTTGCTCCCGCCCAGCCTTGCCTGTGGCTTGGTGAATAAGACCTTCTCCTCAGAGGTGAGGAACAAGTTTTTGTATCCCCACAGAGTGAGGAGAGATTTTCACCCATAACTCTCACTTCCTAAGCATGTGCTCAAACCATTAAGTTGTTATAAAGCAACAGCAACTTCCCCTTCTGTTGGCTATATTTTCAAGAGAGCAGCTACAACTGCATTTGCTGAGGTACCCAACCCAGTATGATGTGTTAAGCATACCTCTGAGCCTGCCCATCATGTCAGGCATCTCAGGAAAGTTAGGCACTACCCTGACTTATTTCTAAATCCCAATGGCAGGTGGGATGCGGGGAGGGCAGATCCACTTAGGCAGGAGCACAGCTCAGGATACTTCTAGACATGCCTGGAAGCATAACTGCAAGTGCTTAAGGAGCTATTAGGCTGGGAAGGCAGTTCCAGGGTCATGGAATCACAATTTTTGACCGAGGCACTTAAAGTCCATGCAAATGATACCTTGGTTTGTTTTTTGTTTTTTTTTTACCTTGTCCATAGCTTCTTTGTGCTACTACTTGCTGAGCTAGGAAACTTGGGGCATTGACAGACATGCAGGCCCCTGCTAACTCATGGCACTTTACATAAAGTGCCATGAGTTAGAGTGCTGCCCTGATCCAACAAGTGTTTGCCTGTTAGGACAGGGGAGCTGGGGGAGGGGAAATTGAGCCTGCCTGCAGGAGCCCTGATCATGCCACAAATTAACCCTAGGGAACACAAGTTTCCTAAGGTGCTCTAAAGTGGAGCACCTTCTTCTGATTTGATGAGGGTTAATTTGCCATACGATCAGCCACTTTAAAAGCGCTCTGCAGCCGCATGCACATCACGGAATGACTGTAAAGCACTTTCAGGGGGCCGATTGCATGAAAAGTGTAACTTCTGTCTGCATCCTTTGTTTCAGTCCTATCATTCTCACCTAGTCTTCCAGAACACTACAGGAATTTAGGACACATCCATTATTTTAGTATATTTAAAGTAATAGGGAAGCAAAAGGAAACTGCAGGCACTAAATCCTACATGCACATTGCTTTAAAATAGATGCAAATATTCATAAGATTAGGTAGCAGCTATTTTAATGTGCAATGATATGAAACAGGTCTGAGCGATTTCTTCACAAGACAAAGCATGGTATTAAAGGACAGGACCTGCAGTGACCCAGACTTTCTCTGGCACACAGGGTCACCAACACAACGGTGGGATGCTGTGGTTACAACAACACTGAAGCCAGTCAGAACAGCAGATGCTGGCTATAATTGTAATATGATCATTTTTTTCAAAACAAACATGTCTCGAATAACCCCCTGCTTCTCTACTGTCTTTATAAACCCTACAGCAAAAGAACAGCAGTGTTACGTTCTATGGTCTAACCTAAGTGTAATTCTAATTAATAACTCTGCCCTCCAAACTTATCCTTGCAGGTTCAACCAGCTACAGTACTTCCTTCCTGTCCTGAATTAGGCATGCACAGCAACATGACCACAAAGGGTTAAATTCCTTTACAGGATCTGGGTGTGACTTACCAGCAGCCTTATCTACTGTATGATTTTGTCCTGGTCACTCATTGTAGCTGCACCTCTGAAAACTTCTTGTAGGACCAGAGCTGATATAGGCTGAATTCATACAAGCATGAGTAGCTGTATGGCCTGTCTACACAAGTGGTTTATAGCAATGGCTATAACTGGGCAAATTGCCAGATAGACAAAGCCTGTTTGGGAAACAATCAAGTGCTCCCAGTGTAAAAGTTGCAATAGATGTTGAACCATCCTCAGACATAATGCACATTGGCTCAAAGGTTAGCTCAGCCCCTTGTTATTGGGAGAAGGAACAGGATGGAATACTTAAGACTGTTACTCTGGTATGACAAGAGCTGCTCCCACATTACAGTTTTTTCCACTTTCATTCTCATGGTGATTAGCAAAGGGCAGCCTGCAAGTCAACATGGGTCCTCCATGCCACTGAGCTATCTTTTAACATCCAGTCAAGTATCTGGGCCCTATCTTTCCAAATCCCTTTATAGAGGGCCAGTTCCCTTAACCTCAGCATGGCCAAAACTAAGCTCTTGAATGTTGTTCCCCCAAACTTTTAGTTCTCTCCCCGGCTCTTTCTACTGTTGCAAGGGGAGCCCTCTATCTAAAATCAGGACAAAGGGGCTTATACAACAATAGGTCCTTTCTTTATATAGCAGAGGATATATGCAGGATGGAGCACTTCACAGATTCACAGAAGTTTAGGGCTAGAAGAGATCTTATGAAATGATCAGGTCCAGCCCTCCAAGGTCTTACCAAGGCCTCTAATGTGTTCCTTACATGCCAGGCTACATCTTTGTTCTCCCTTATCACTTAGGCCTGCAATGTGAGCATCGCCTTTGACTCACCCTTCTCAGACTTACACATACAGGTCATTTCTAATTCTCTAAGACTTTTCTTTTCACTTCTCTCTAAAATCTGGCCTTTCCTCACTGTCCACAAGCCCAGTTTCCATATACTCCCCTACAAGTTTCTTCCTTGGCACTCCATTCACTCAAATACAACCTTCCTGTTTTTGCCTTGTGAGGTCCTTCATAATTTAGTCTAACCCACCCTAACCAATCAAGTAAGCTGGGAATGTTGTCAGAATGTCAGTGCCCATTAATACATTTTTCTCTTAAATATACCTTTGGGCTTTCTCCCCTTACCCTTGGGGAAAGCTCCCTGAAGAATTTGAACAGTCCCCTTCTCATAGCCTCCTTGTCATCCCTCTGCAAGTCTTACAGTGGCTACATGGTTTAAAATGTGGACTCCTGACCGTGGCCAAGCACTCAATGAACTGTGACTAATTTCCCAATTATTTCTCCACCCCTCCTCTCTACCCCAGTTAAAACACACATGCAGTTAACAAAGCTGCGTAACTCAAAGACACCATCAGAGGATGGATGAAGTTGTTCAGGACAGGGATTATTTTCCTATTCGCACAAAACCTAGTAAATCAGGACCTCACTCCTAATTCAGGATGTTGGGCAATTACCATAATAGTTACATTTTGCTAAAAAGTGCTCCATAAAATACTGATATTCCTTATGGCTGATGATAACATTATAAAAAATAAAGTTCTGGACTGGATTGGAAACAAAAAACTTTTACCTATACCTCATGGCCCACTGAATTTTACAAAAATCATCTAGCAGCTTCTCCTATAGCACAAGGAACACAAACACAGTAGTGCTGAAAAAGTGATTCAAGTGATGTTCATTAGCCAAACTCTGAGAAATTCCAAGGAAATGAACAGCAAGAAGCATGCAAGTTTTAGAAATTGCTTTAATCATCATCTGAGGTGACATAGGAAACAAGGTCATTTACAAACAAAGGTTTGCGAGTGCCTTTGAGAGTGGTGTATAGTAAAAGTGGGCAATTACAAACTAGTCTCGGAATTCTGCTAGTAGAACCAAGGGTAGCACTTAGGAGTTATGACACACTTCCCACAAAGCAGCTTGAATATTTAAACTCCTCTTCCAGCTTTTCCCACTGCCATGAGTAGACAGGACCTGGGACCAGCCCAACACAGAAGTAATGGCAAAGTTATAGCAAAATAATATGGAAATAACCGTGGCTAGCTCAGTGAGGCCCCGACTCCTGACAACCAGGGTCTGTAGGCGCTACAATAAGGCTAGTAAGCAGAGTTTGTCCTGAGAAGCCATGCTTGGAGAAGTTAATGCTCTGCTAGGAGGCTCTTGAGACTGGAATGCTTTTTATAATGATGACCTTCCATTTTCTAGAGCTAATGTGCAATTTTCTTCATTTTTCAGAACCTCTTGGCAAAAGACCAAAAGAAACAATAAGACTGAGTTCAGAGGCTGGAAAACACCACATGAGCCAGCTCTTTTAGAGCTGCAAATGCAGGTTGGGAACAAAACACTAGGTGGCACATGCCTACTTGACAGAAGTCTTTATAGCCTCAGAAATGGCTGCGGGCTCCTGATTCCAGGATTACTGTGCACCAAAAATAAAAGCCTGGAAGCTGGTGAAATAAACTGCAGCATCTGAAATAGAATGCCTTCAACATTTGTACAGAGCAAAGTCCATCTCCAAGGGCTCCAGCCCCAAGCATGAGCAGCTTCCTTAAAAGCAAGATGGGAGGAGGAACACCCTCTCAGCACCCCACCTCTTTAGAACCTCCAAAAGCATAAGAAGTTCAGACTGCTGTAAACTAAGGTGGGCAAAGTGAATCTCAAAAGGGCCCTCTCACCACGTGTTTGTTCCTACCAGTCTTAGATTCCCAAGTTTAGTAAATGGGGCTGGGGTGGTTCTCAGCTTCAGCTGCTGCAACAGTGTATGGGGTGGGAGGGTGCGAAGCAAAGAGTCTTCAGCTAAGGTCATTTTAGAGTTTGATAGTTTAGAATCAAAATGTTTTGATCTCCACCCAGAAGACAAGCAGTCAGCAAAGATTTCCCTACTTCTGGTATCTGCTACAAAGTAAATGCTTGGAACTTGAAGCCACTTTAACAGCAGCAAGATCCATCTCTGTAAGTGGGCCAGTTCCTCCTAGTTAGGTAGAGCTTTCTGCTTTATGGCCATCTACGTTTAAACAAATCTCAACAGTAGTTCTACACTAGAAACTGGAGTAATGAATGGTAGATGCATCCTTTTAATGGATCAGAGACATTCCCATCCTTCTCCTTGCAACCAGGTCAGTCTTATTCAGTAGAGAAGAGAGAGAGAGAGAGAGAGAGACGGAAGCACTGCTTTGAACACTGTTCAAAGGACACAGAAATGTACACTGATTTTCCATAGCATTACAGTAACTTTGCATATACAGAAGACATTCAAGGTTAATCATTTCAGAACATAGAGCACCAGTCCTTTGAAATAAATCAGAGGCAGTTTAATATTTGAAATTGCTATCTGCATGTTGCTGTGACTTGAAAGAAGTGAGAACTTCTATTATTCTTTACTGTTTACGTGTAACTTCCAATGTGCAAATTGCTTAAGAAAACAATCATTCTGTTTGTAAGCTAAAGCGAATAGCAGTGGCATAGTCCATGTTGTCACTTAGGGTGCTGACAGACATGCAGCTCCCCAGTCTAACTCATGGTGCTTCACAGAAAGCGCCACGAATTAGACCAATCCTCCTGACCCAACAGACATTTGCTGTTGGATCTAGAGGGTAGAGGATCAAACCCCACTTTGGGCCAATCCAGCAAGAGAAGCTGTGTGTTTGCAGCCTCTTCCCCTAGCCCTGCCTCTCCTCTCCCAGCTTTAGTGCTGTCTCAGGATAGGAGTGGGAAAGGACAGGGTCCATTCTGGGGTTTGGAAGGGTGGACTGGAGCCCCCACCTTGGGGCGGGCTCCAATCCACCCTCCTCCCCCCTTCCAGTATAGACCAGGCAAACCCCAGACAGAACTGCCTCCCTTCCCACCCCCGCTCCCATTCTGAAGACGGCTTCAGTCTAGCCTGGCTCTTGGTGTGCACTAACAGAAGTTAATGAAGGCACTCTGCTTTGGAGCACCTTCATCTGAACCCTCATGTAATGAGGGTTCATTTGTCATGCGATCGGGCACTTTTTTTAAAGTGCTTTGCACCCATGCACTTCTGCCAGCACACGGCTGTAGTGTGCTTTCTGTCAGTGCCCTTACTGTAGTTAGGGTTCAGGGTTAAAGGTATCCAGGTGAGAAATGGACTAGTGCCCACAATGGCTCTTATTTAATCTTTCCTGCAAGTACAAGGAGAGACTGCATCTATGGTTACAGAACATGCTTTTGAAGCTTTATATAAATAGTTTAACTCTGTTTAAAATAAAAAGCTTAGGTTTTAGCATGCAAATGTATAAAACGAACAAACAAAAAAACCCTTGCACTTTTCCTCTTAGTCTATGCTACTATCACCCCAGCCCAAAAATTCCCCATTACTACTACAGCAGTAAGGAGAAACGGGGGGGGATCACAGACAAGGCACTTGCCCTGTGCATAGCACTTGAGCCACCCAGTTGTCAGGACCTACACAGAGTATGGGTAAGGTGTAGACATTTTATGTACATTATGTTCCCATCATTAGTAGAAAAAACAACACATTAGTGCAAATGTGCCAGGGTCCACAGTGACAGAAGAACTAATGAGTATTCAACATAATAGTAGAGAGACTCAGATGAAGAAGAGATGGGGTTTTCAGTCAGACTATTTAAAATTCTGTCTTTATGCCAACACTCATTTATTTCCAAGGAATAATAGTTTAGAGAAAAATCATTCAGAGCAAGTGTTCTAGCAAAAAGCAGTTGACTCACTCTTACAGAGAAAAGGCTTGCTATAGGATTGGCTGTGGGGAAGGTTCTAATGTTACACTGTGCCCCAAGCATTTATAGTAAATGATTCCTCTATCACAGCATTTCTCAGCCCATGGGTCGTGACCCAAAAGTGGGTCACAACAATATACGAAAGGGTCACAAGCAAACTTTAAAAATGGATCAACAAACTTTAAAAATGGATTCTCCTTTAAAAAGGAGAAAAGCGTGGGAAAACATGACTTTTCCCTTGCAGGCTGGCAGGGTTCCAGCCTGAAAGGAGCTGCTTGAGGCTCCCCTGGCCCACCCACCTGCCCCCTGCCCCACACACTGGGGGGCTACGGCAGGACGGACCATCAGTGTTTACAAATGGGTCCCGGTACAAAAAAAGGTTGAGAACCATTGGTCTATCAGACACAATAAGTATGTTATAAATCAAGGTTTCATTTAAGAAGAGCATTTTTTTGACTTATACTATACTTGAATTGTGTGTGAAGCCGCTACGATGCTTAAAGATCTCAAGATCTATCAATTTACAGCCATGCATATTAAAATCCAAGGTTTGTTAGCCCAGCTTTGAATGCACTCTTCTACTGAAATCCTGTCTTTTAGTAGTTTTGAATTATGGGTAATTTCCAGACTTAAACTGGGTGCTGAATAACTGCCCCAACATACACACTACGTATTTTCATTCACAATGACATTCATCCCTTTGTCAGTACTTGGCATTGTTGTTAATACAGAAAAGATAAAAATAAATTCTCCTTTGTCAGGTGAACTGTCTGAAACTCCTAGTAAGTACTTGGGATATCTAGGTATAAAAGCCCACCTATGTTCAGACAAATCCCAAGATACCAATTAACTTAAAATACATAGCTGACATATGCCTTTAAATTCATCTAAGTAAGCAGTTTTCCTTGGGACAAACACACAAACAAACAGTGGACACAAACTGGTTAGGCCTGTGTGCAGTTATTTCTGTGTTTTGCTTTTTTTGGCCTCCATGCAAGGACAGCTTGCAAGAGCAAGTCCTGTTTTTAAGTGCCAACACTGCCCATTACAAAATGCTATCAGGAAGTGTGAAGCCATCAACAAAAAGCTTTTCACCTGCATATTTACTTTTAACCCTGAAGGCTGTTAATTGTGAGAAAGCACACAAATGAAGAGTAGCCTATACATCACATATTCTCAAAGTATTCTGTGCAATATCCACATTCAACTAACATACCAGACTGCTTTCATACTGAGTACATAAACAAGAGTTTGTCACTCAAATCTCATTTTATTGTTTCCCAGCTCCTGACTTTTAGAGATCACAGCTCTTTGCGTTTTGTCCCAGATATTTAAATAAAAACTATCCCTATATCAATTAAATATTTTATTTGGGATTCATACTTCTCTGCCAACACATTTCACTCATTATTTAGAAACAAATATTCTGTCTATTTATGCCTTCTGTTAATTGTACACCTCTCCATTTCTATGAATATCATTTTTTTTGCCTTTCACAATTTTAAGTTGTAAAAAAAACCAAAAAAAAACCCTAAACAAATTAAATAATCCAGCTGGTTGTTAAACCAAAACTATAAAATTATATCTTTAAGCTATGTTGATTGTAAAAAAATATGTACAGCTTCCAAAAGAAAGACTACATTTAAGTCAAATTCCCAAATATTGGAGTAAATGGTGTGGATTCCAGCTTTTAGGTTCAACATATCTTTGGTGTTTAAATGCCCAAAGTCCTGATGATTTTTTCCTAGAATATACAAATTGCGGGGAAAAGGAAAAAAGAACAAGGATTATTCTCCAGTATTTCAGGTGGCAGGTTATGCATCTCTGATGCTTACCAGAAGGAATCATTTATTAACATTTGATTAGAGAGTGGGGAACAAGTTTTACATCACTTGTAGCAGATGTAAGCTGTTAAAAAAAAACAAACTGTTGGTTACATTTTTGTTCCCATGTCACTTGTATTAGTTCTCTATAATTGGAAAAGAATCATAAAATACAATCATTTGATATGCAGATGCTGAGAAAGAATGTCATGGCTGTTTCTGTATTTCACCTCTTTAGCTATTGCCATAGCTAAAACTACTTCCCTAATTATTTCTACTGAATTAAATGGGTCTGCCATACTTTAGATATCTATGCAAAGGCTGAAGCTAATATAAATTCAATAGTCTGTTAGAGTTGTGTTGTAGACTGTTATATGACAAAGTTTCCCTATAGAGGCATGGCACCAAAAAATAGAATTTAGAAACCAAGAAGTTTGGTATGAAGTACATATAGTGCCTCCCTGCCCTAACTCATTCAGAAAGTCATGGTTTGCTACAGTGTACTCTAATGAAGAGGAGTTAGGGAAAAAAAGGTAGCCCCTTCACCTGCCCCTTCCTCAGGCAGAAGAGCTTTTTTTTGGAGATTAATGGCATTGTTCTCCAGTAAAGCTCAGCTTCCCTTATTACTGCAGTATAGACACTCAGTTGCCATAGCTTGTTTGACTTTAAAAAAAAGCCATGACAATTCATAGCAGCTGACTGGTTGTCCCCTTACATTTTCACAAGAACAACAACAGCATAAATGGGGAAGTTCATTTTGTTTTAATGGCAGCTGCACCTGGGATAAATTTGGCCTAGTGTTTCAGTGATGTGGCTGGAATCCCAACTTCAGAAGAAAGTCCCAAGAGAAAAGGACTTTAAGATGTTTTTGAACATGAAGTATTGTAGGATGGCAATTTCCCCAATTCTTGCACCATCCCCTCTTTAATACTTACCTTGCATATAGCATAAACTATAAGGCTTACCAGGCCAGCCCCTCACCCACCTTCACCCTCATAAATTAACACAAATCTCTTCTTTGTGGTAAGGATTATACATGACATTCCATTTCAGAAAGCTACCAACCCTGCTTGGCAATAGACACATATGAGGGGAACAGGGACAGGTGAAATATAAATCCAGTTTCTTAGAGCTCTTCAGTGCAGTTCACCAGTTTCCACTATTTCTGTTTCAATTAAGGCTTCACCAAAAGAAATACGTAGTACCATTTTGTTTAAAAAAAAAAAAAAAAAAAAAAAAAAAGCTGATCCTAGCACACTCCTTTCAAAGCAAACGGTCCTGGAGTGATGTTAGCAGAGCTATCATCAATTGTTTTCATGGGTAAAATAGTATCTAACTGGTGGGCCTGGTAAGTCTTCATCCCCATCTGTTTCTGGAGCAAATGATACTGTGAGATCCACATATTTTTTATCAGCTGATGGTTTCACAAGCTTTTGCATCCTACAAAGGAAGGAAAAGCCACTTAGTAAATACAGAAAGAAAAGCAAGGAGTCAAACGCTGAGCTATCCTGAACTAAAGCAAATTATTACCAATGCATCAGCGACTTTGTTAGAAAAGAATGAGCCTTCTGTTAATCAGATATACCAAAGTCATTCTGGAGTTGCAGAAGGCCTCATTTCAGTTGATGAATTTCTGCTTTTGTTGTCAGACTGCTCAGGCTTTGAGCTATTATATGTTGCTTAACAGCAACCATACAAGATAAAAAGCAGAGGAAGTACTTCCTCCTAACGGTCAAACCCTCCTTCCTCATACAAGCAGTTTTGTTCAGGGCTGGGGGACTAAGGATAAACCCAATTCTCTCCCCTCCCCATCTTCAAGAAGGACATTTGGAATTCATGCAACAGATGCTACCCATACCAAAGGGGCAAAAATAGCAGCCAAGGGTCAGATGGAGTCATGGTTTTGGCCAGCTTCTCTCCGCCACACGCAAGCAACTTCAACAGTCTATTCTCAGAGCCTTCAAAGTCTACTTACAATGTCTGTTTCTGTAGTTCTCTGCACCTAGGTGTCATGGGAGCTCTGCTCCAATGCATACAAAAGTGTATAATGTCCATTTGCAGGGAATAATACTGTTGCAGTTTGGCCCTACCATGTCCACAGATTTGGAAACTGGGTAATGGTGGTGAAAGAAGGCCAGGATTTATTCATTACCTTGTAGTAAGTGCAATTTTGGATGGTTTATTGCAGTACAGAGCAATAAACCATTGTGGCAGCTCAGTGACACAAGGCAAACTTGAACGGGCTTGCTGGCAATCAACTTCATGGCAGACCGTGCTAAACCTTCTCTGCCTTATAGCAGAACAGTCTGGCTTACACAGTCAAATTCAGGCACCACTGCATCACATTTAATGGGTGCTTATTTCAAACGCACTGTTGCAGGCCATATTCCTTTATCACACAACCAGCTGGAGTCACAAAAAATTATTACGTTTTCTTGAAGCTGTAGCGTCAGACAACCTGCTACATATTTAACTTCACTACAGCTCATGAAGTTACGTCAGCTACACCAACTAATACGAGCACCTACACCTTCCATGGCACTTTTCATTTGCAGATTTCAAAACACTTTACAATGGAGGCAAGTATTAAGTCAGATCAGGGAGAAGCTTGTTGCATGGAACTGGCTGTCAAAGCAACATTAAAACTAAACCAAACTAGTGGTCATACTGGAGTGTCTGTGTACAAATTGGCAAGTACTTATCAAAAAGGCAGCTTGACTGCCAATTTCAGCTTCCCTTCCCCTTTTTTCAGTTGTCAATAAGTTAAGAAGGGTAGTTTGTTTTTCTCTACATTCCTAATCAACATGAAAAGCTGTCAAAAGAGAGCATCAACTACTGAAAGAGATAAGATTTCAACAAGTCACTAAGGAACTCAAGTCAACTAGGCTCTTTGTTTACTCATGTACTTTTGAAAATCCCACGTTTCAACCTCAATATCCCCAACTTATTACTGAAATGACGCATAAGATGTCTCACATGCACAAACTGAACGTTTTAATTATGTCCACTCTTTTTGGGGCAATTCCAGCTTGCATTGGGTAGCCCAGTTTCACTTGTAGTGCAACTGGGAGGCACACCTGTTCCCAATTATTTCCGGTCAGATATTTCCTAGATCTCTCTCTCTCATTCTTGTTGTTTAGACAACGTCACAGGTCTCCCCCCTTCCCCACTCCAATGAAAGTTCTACAAAATTAATCATGCTTGTAAACAGAAATTGCGCATTTCTGAAAATCCCTTAAAGGAATGGAACTACAGAAGGAAGCCTTATGTATTCCTACATGCTCATCAGCAAAATATCTAAGAGCATTCTTAATGGTATCAATTCGTATTCCCTGGATTCCACGTTCAGTTTTGCTATTTTACTGATACTTACGTCAGCTTTAGTCTTTTGATGTGACCAGGCATCACTGGAACATACAGCATTTTGACGCCCTGTACAACCATTGTTGGTTCAATTCCGTATTTCTCCTATAGTTTACAAACACAGGCATTTTAGCAAAATGTTCTACACACACCCAGCTCCTTCACTTAGAAGAAACTATTTCTTCAAAAGAACCAGGTCCCAGAGAAAAAATAATTTTCATGAAACCCACTTAATAACATTTTACTGTAGATTTCATATGATTTTTTCTATAATTTAAATAGCAAGACAAATTTCAAATGAACTCTGTGCACATGATCAGATGACCATAGTACTGTGCACTTAAAACCTGTGATTATTTTGGCTTCAACAGGAACTTGACACACTTGAAGAAACAGAAGCCATGTCCCCCCTACACCTATGTCCTGTATTAAACCATTACAATAGGCAAAGTCTTACTCTGACAGCATTTATGAAGTCCAGGAGAGTAAAGTCTTCTTTCCCATAAACAGTCCACCGGTCCCAGATTGTAAACGATATCTCATTTCTGTTTTAAAAGAAAGCCAGCAATCACAGTTTGTTTGTCCTTGCATTCTGGAAGTGTGAATTCAACGACTTCTCCCTATACCAATGCTGAAAATGTCATCAGCTCTCCTATTAACCTGTTGTTTAGCCTTGAGCGAAATCAGTGCCCCCTCCCCATCTCAATTTCCCTTTCCACCTTTGTCTCATGTACCCTCTCTCACAGTGTGCACACAGCACCTTGCACAGGTCCCATAAGGGCTCCTAAATCTAGCATAAAACAAGTAAGATTTAGGTACAGTGAAACAGTGACAGCATGCATTTCATACTGCAAAAGTGCAGATCCATGCAAACAAAGACTGGAAGACAGGACACTTACTAAATGAAAAAAAACAAAACCAAAAATCAGATGAGAGAAGCACTCAAGGGCAGATTTTTCAAGATAATTTAGTAACTAGTGGCTCTAAGTTGAGTACAAGGCTGTATACACATTTGAAAATGTAGTCATGCGTTACTTAGAATAATCAATACTAGCCACTTAACCAAATGATTCTCTACCAAATTCCCTCCTTTTAAAATTAATTATTAGATAAACTAAGACTAGTTTGACAACTCCAATGGACCTTATTACCATAGTACTTTGTCAACAAACAAGTGTAAGAAAATAAGGCAAGTGTCTCCTCAAATTTCCTTTCTACGTTTTTGTTGGGGGTGACAAAATGCATCAGAAAACCGCTTTCCTTCTACAAAGTCTATATTTAAGGACCTAGCTTTTGTAGGGGAAGTGTTAGGAGACATTTTGGGAAACTTACTACTTTCAGAACCTCTAAAAACTAGCCCAAACTATTTCCTTAGTAGTTTCTGGAATAGGCCAATTAATAGGGATCTACATAAACCACGCCAAGGCAAAAGAAAAATTGTGGGCCACTCACAACACATGGCACCATTTCCATGGTCTTTTCGTGGTGGCCTCCCCTACTGGTTGAGGGGCTCCGGTGACCCTTCCCCTTGCCACTGATTGGCCAACAGGGCTACCCTTCGTGCAACCCTGCCCCTTGCTGCCTGCTGATTGATGGGGAGGGATGGGGCCATCAACTGGGCACTTCTCTTGGGCAGCTCTCCTGGCCAACAAGCAACGAGGGCTGGAGGCGGCTGCCACCTTTGCTGCACCCCTTCATACCAGTGGCTTTTCTTCTCCACCATGACGGGTTGGTTGGGAGGCTGAGCTCTGGGAGCCCTGAGGACCACTGGCTCCCACCAGGAAATCAGCATTTTGTTTTTAGTACGTTTTTTTCCCCCCTGGCAATTCCATGGCAAAATCGCAGGGATTGCCATTTTTGCAAAGTTTGTAAAAAACACAAGATCATGAATAGGGTAGATGTCTACCAATTAGACAAGGTTTAAGACACAGTAGGCATATCTACACATGCATTTACTCTGGCCCAAATTTACTCGGGTAAATAAGCTACTTCGGAGTAAGGGTTTTTGGGTAGGTGGGGATTAGGGAGAAGATTTGCACCCAGTTCTCTGCAGCCCTACAATGGGTCCCTGCCGCCACCAGAGGAAGCTCCAGGCTCCCCCCTTGGGTGCTACCCCAGGGGCTGGCAGGGAGTACTGGGTACCAATGTCTCGTGGCCCTGGGGGGCTGCCTGTTGCTGGGGGAGGGGTGTGTGAAAGACAATGTCCCCATGACCCGGAAGCAGGGAGCTTCTGGCCTTGGCTCCCCAATCAGGGGAATGGGTCTTGGAAAGAGCTGCAGGAAAGAGACAGATCCCAGCCCTCTACCCCAATCTGGCAGTGGGGCAGCTAGTAGCTAACTCGCTGCTAGCTGCTACACCAGTGGATCGGGGCAGGAGGTTGGGACCTACCCCACCTGTGCAGCTCTTTCCAAGCCCTGTGCCTTGATCACCCAATCCGGGCATGGGGCTGGGACTTGCCCCTGATTGGGACAGTTCACAACCAGCCTTGAGCTGCACAGGGAAGTCTGCATTTGCAGAGGACTGCCCAAAACAGGAAACATGCTTCCCTGTGCAGCTTGGAACTGGCAGGGAACTGTCCCAGTCAAAGGCAGGTCCCAGCCAGCTCCAGGCTGGGTGGGGAACTGTCTCCATGTAGGGATCTCCCAGCCCCTGCTCCACCACTGCAATTACAATTGTGGAGTGCAGGCTGGGGATCTTGTTCCCAGTCTGTTCCTAGACTCATCTCCACAATCACCGAGTTGGGCAGGGAACAGGCTCCCTTACCCCCACCAGCAGGGATCTCCCAGCCCGAGCGCCACGAACACAGAGCTTGGGCTGAGAGATAAGGGTCTCCCCTGCTCCCAGATTGTGATCGGGGAGTGGGGGCCGGCAGATAAGGATCTTTCAGCCCCTGCTCCCTGATTGCAATCTGGGAGCAGGCCCTCTGGTGGCTGGCTGACGAGGAGCGGATTTTGTACCTGGTCAGGCATCTATACGAGCACCATGGCGCCATTACTAATCCTGAGTAAATGTGCTACTCGCATTTGCGGGGAGCAAATTTACTTAAGATTAGGGAGGTTTACTGTGAGGTAAGCAGGTGCATGTGTAGGCGCACATGCTTATTTCACAGTAAACTATGCTAATGAAAAGTTAAGTGTCTCATGTAGCTGCACCTGCAGAAATTTAAACAGGAGTTTTCCTTACCTTTGAAACAAATGCTCACCCAAAAACGGGGCTTAGTAAATTGGATGGCAGCCACCAGCCCATTCATTTGCTTCCTCTCCCACTCCAACATCTTTTGATCACATTTTACAGTAACAAAGATTCATTAACACTCCATTTAGTGTCTTTGTAATACAGGTTTCCCTCAATTGATGTGGTACATGCATTCCTGGAGAATGCTGCATAAATCGAATTTGCATAAAGCGAACCTACTTTATAATGTAAGAAATAGGGATAGGTTCCCCTGTTGGCTGCACATGGCTGCCTGCCCCTGCTGCAGCCCTGGGGGCGGTGGACACCACCTGCTTGCAGCTGCTGGGTTCCACCGCGCAGGGGGCGTTCAGGGCATGGTGCCCCAGGGGGTGTGAGGCATGGTGCAGCCCAGTGGCTGCAAGCAGGCGGTGTCCACCACTCCCAGGGCTGTAGCAGGGGCAGGCAGCTGCCTGAAGCCAGACGAGAGCAGGCTGGGCCCGGCGGCTGCTGCAGGCTCAGGGGCTCCGGGCTCTTCCCAGCGCTCTGCCTGTCTCCACCCCAGCCCTGGCTCCAGGAGCTGCCGGTGCCAGCTGCCTGCACCAGGGCACAGTGCAGCCCAGCAGCTACAGGGAGCTGGCATCGGCTGCTCCTAGGACAGCTGCAGCAGGAGTTGGGATGAGTGGGGACACAGAGAGCCCCAGAGGGCTCGGGGCACGGTGCAGCCCAGTGGCTGCCGGCAGCTCCCGGGGCTGGGTTGAGTGCTGTGCCCCACACCGCCTGGGGCTCCACTTGTCCACACTCACCCCAGACAGCCCCAAGAGCAGCCGACAGAGCAACCTATCCCTATTTCTTACATTATAAAGTAGGTTCGCTTTATGCAAATTCAATTTATGCAGCACTCTCCAGGCCTATGCTGATCGCATGTATGCAAATTTACCTTGCATATAATGAATTTTGGGTACAAAAGGGTCATTGCATGAGAGCAAATTCGCATAAATCAAACCCGCATAAATCGAGGGAAACCTGTAAATAGCAGAGACCTCTGGGAGAGTATGGTGAAGATTGTAGCATAAGTGTACACTTCTAACAGTAGCTATAAATAAACTTTATAAGTTTACATACTGTGCTAAATGTTAGCTAATACTACTTAAAACTAAAATGATGAGATGCATATAATTTTGAGTTCTCTATAGCCTGCATGAGTTTGAATAGGACCATGATCATACTGTTTTCCCAAGTCACTTTTGAGGACAACTTCACAAATTCTTGAGAACAGAAACTGGGTAGTAGCCCATTATATTCTAAGTTTAAGGCAGACAGTGCTGTAAGTACCTTAGTATCTAGACCTTGACATGTTTGTATACAGTTCGTAGCCTGGTTGCTAGTAGAGGTGTGCAAAGCGGGCCCTATTCAATTCAGATTCAGCCCAAATCAGGCACAGTGATTCGATTAATTGATTCAGATCGCCGTTCCCGATTCGATTTGGCCGAATCAAAATCTGAAGATTTGATGCTGATTCAGAGAAAGACACAGCTTTAAAAGGTTTTTCTACATACCTTGAGGTAGCAGGCACAGCTTGTTATTGCTGTGATGCTGGGGTGCATGGAGTGTCTCACAGGATGGGGGGGGCCTCCATGTGCTCAGTGGCAAACCTGGAAGTGGACCGGAAATACTTCCGATCCACTTCCGGGTCTGCCGGAGAGTGTGCTGGGGGGCCCCCATACTCACCCAGCTCAGTGATCAGCCACAGGGGGACCCCAGGTGCCCCCCCCACCACCCAGGAGGCACCAGTCACTGAGCCAGGGAGGCTGGAAGTGGACTGGAAGTTCTTCTGGTCACTTCCGGGTCTACCCACTTCCGGGTCTACTGCTAAGCGTGCTGGGGAACCCCCCATGCTCCTGTGGGACACTCCATGCGCCCCAGCATTGCAGCACTCACGAGCCCCTGCTACCCATCAGTATGTAGAAAAAACATTTAAAGCTGTGTCTATGTCCAAATCTTTCCAAATCGATTGGAAGGTTCCGATTTGATTCGGAGAGATTAAAGGGTCCTCTGATTCTATCCTGATTCAGAGATTCAGCCACCAGATCGGGCCAAATCTCCGCCGAATCGAATCGGAGACTTAAGCTTCATACAGCCCCAGTTGCTAGGAATGCTACAAGGACCAACGTGGTTTCATTATGTTGTTCTAGGAAGATAATATGCAGGTCCAGGACTGAGACAGAACCCATGCACATTAACTGTATGTATTTAGCTCTTGAAGTAACATTATGCCAAATATCCCAACACTGATCAACAACTTTCTAGAACAAGGGTAAGCAATCTTTTCCAGCTGCAAGCTGGATTGACGCACCCACTGCTGCCCTT